CTCTACTTTAAGACATGAGCCCCAAAATCTTCACCTTAATTATACTGAAGAATTTCCTGGCAGCAAATGTTGCCAAGTATTAAAATCAAGTGATGTAGAGAAATAGTGAGATCTCCTTTTCTGGAGACCTTTCAAAACAAAATGAATGAGGTCCTCTGTAGAATGGTTTCAGCTTGGTCTTACTGGAAGCATCATCTTAATTGAAAGTTAATAGAAAGAGACTGAGTTGGCTAGATTTTTTTCCCTAGGTCTGCACATATATAATTAGGAACTCACCTATAGCATATATGTAATGCAGAACAGATGTTCCTATAGGGATAGAGCATTATCAGGTTAAAACCAAGATAGGACCTTCAGACCTACACTAATTGAATTTGAGTTCCAGACAAAGGTGAGCTTTCGATTGGAATCAGATAGATCTTCCTTTGTTATCTCTCTAGCAGCAGTTAGGACACTCACTGTTAAATCACAGGATCATCAAGGATCGTAGATCCACAGCTGGAAGGAGCCTCAGAGAACTTTTTGTCTGACCCTGCCTACTCATCTTCTTTCAGATGCATAAACTGAATCCAAGAGAGGTTATGTGACTTATCTGTGATCACACAGGCAAGCATCAGAAGCAACATTTGAAGGCTCTGCCTCTAGACCAAGACATCATCAATTACAGATGCCTTGTGTTTCTAAACTCCTGAAGCCTTTCAAGTGTAATCAGAAAAGTACCTGAGTATTAACACAAAAATTAAAAAAAAACTTTTCATGTTTAACTTTCCTACCCCCACTTTTTTTTCTTAGCTTTTATCTGATTAATAGGGAAATTTTGAACCCATTTTTTGGCCCAGCTCAAGTCTCGCCTATTTGGGAGAAACTGTGACTAACCCACACCCCTTAATGATCATTCTCTTGGTGAAATTTTCTCTTCCGAACATTTCCCTTGAAATTATATTAGGATCCATTGTCAATACACCACATGTGGCCTGAAGTTCCTAAGAGCAGCAAAAGAGCATTTTACTCTCACACCTAAAGTCAAGTTAACATTCATTCTAAAATAGATAAGAAAAAAAAAATCATACTTTGTATTAATATGAGAAAAGGCTTATCATTATTTGTCCTTGATCTGACAGTATAGCAGAGTAGATAGTCTGCTTAAGAATCAGGAAGACCGGGGTTTGGGTTTTGCTTCTGACACAGATTAACTGGGCAAGTGCCAACCTCTCTGAGCTCTAACCAACTTTCTCAGATTCTAAGTTGCAGAGAAGTTGCATTGGTAGAGATGAATCCCTTATAGGAAGTTCCCTATACTTGTGACATTATTATTACTGTTACCAACAAAAAAATAACCATTGTTAAAACTGGTTTGTATGTGTCTATGTTTTTGTTCAAATTCTGTGTGGGACAAAAATTGCTTTTTAGGTCTCTGGCAGTTCACAGATACCCATCTCCTCACTTAGACTGTAAGCAACTTGTAGGGACAGGTGGTATCTTTGCATCCTTTATCATTCCACATTTCATCTTCAGCAAGTAGTCGATAACTATTTATTAAATGAATGAGTGAAATTAAAATCTCAGCACCATGTTCCTTGATCACTGCTCCATTGAGCCTCTGGCAAGAGAGATGCTAGTCAATTGTTTGGGATATGGCCAGCCTGTGGCTCTGACATTTTGGCTGTATGCAAGCCAAAGCTCATCTTGTTTTTGCACATAAAGAAACAAGAGTCTCTCCCCCATTACAAAACTCACTGAAAGAACCAGACGCCCATTGGCCTCCTCTCCTTTGCTTTCCTGTTTAATAAATGATTGAACAGGGGATGGTGCTTAATCTTCCTAAACAATAAACTCCCAAACATTCAACACTGTCAGATGCTTTTCTGGCATTTGAAAATATGCCTGCCACAGAAGAGTCTATTGAATCTGGGCTGTGACTAAGACCCCGCAGACAAAGAGCACTGTCTGCTAAGCAGCTCTCTCTCTCTCTCTCTCTCTCTCTTCTCTCTCTCTCTCTCTCTCTCTCTCTCTCTCTCTTCTCTCTCTCTCTCTCTCTCTCTCTCTCTCTCTCTCTCTCTCTCTCTCTCTCTCTTTTAGATCTTGTTTAGTGAAATCACTGGTAGGCTGCATGAGGCCTTGTCAGTACTTAGGACAGCCAGCCTGTGTTTACCCCAGAGGGGTTGGGGCAGGAGGAAAGGAGGCAGTCAGGAAGAGCAATGAGGCTTCTCCAAATGGGAACACTAATCTGACTGGAGTATACACAGGATGTAGGAGGGCAGGCTTTTCATCTGAGGTTCACATGTCTTCATAATAAATTAAGTCAAGGAGGTATCAGTTTTCATAGCTATACTCTTATGTCCCAACCCTCTTCTCCCTGCTCAGCCCATGAGGGGAGGAGTCTCTGTCCCAAACAAGAGACCGTTCTGCCTTTGTAAATGAGAGGATAGATTTCTAGTAGAACCACCTTGTTGGTTGTAAAAACCAAATGGATGAGCCAACTCAAATGCCACTTCCTATATGAAGCTTCCCCTAATTCATTCCATCTCTTCCTTTTACCACATTAGTCTCTAATATTGTGTGACCCTAGACAAGTCTATTCTTTCAACCTCAATTTCCTCATCTATAAAATGGGAACAATAATAGCACTTACCTCACAGGGTTGTTGTAATGTATGAAATGAAATAACATATATAAAGCACTTCGTCAGTCTTAAAGCCGTATGTAAATGTTAGCTATTACCATCATTTCTATTCTTTCTCCCTTCGATCTCACATAGCACTTGTTTCTCATCTTTCAAAACACATATACTATTGTGCTTTGTTTGTGACCTATGTTTGTGATTTGTCCCCCTAATCTAGACCATGAACTCCATGGAGGTAGGGACTGAGTATTTGCAGACTCTGTGTTTCCTCTAATACCTAACTCCACACTCTGAACACTGAAGGAGATTAATACATGATTGTTGAATTCAATCAACTTAAGACAACCTAGGTAAGGTAAACACATTGTCGCTTTGAAAGTGAGTCATGTCACACCACAGACCTTTGAATGAAGAGGGCCGTAAATACATCTAAATAATGGTCAATAAATTGTTTGGGTCAATAAATTCTTTGGGGTCATTTGCTTGAGAGAAGAGTGGTCCATAATGTGCCCCTAGGTGCTAGCCACAAAGGAATAGTATTTGGAAAATAGAAAAGGAAAGATTTTGGGGGATGAAGGAAGAGTAAAGAATGAGGCAGAAGAGCTAACTGGACAATTCCATTAGAAGGCATATAGAAGGCCTATTCTTGGTTACCTTATCTTCATTACTCCTGGAAGAATGTACAACATACTGAGTGAGAGAATCTTGGCCTATTTAAACTAATAAGCAAACTCTATGTCCATTTCAGGCCCATGTGACCCAGGAATTTGACACCCTGCTCTGTTTTCTATTATCTCACTTATTCAGGAAATAGCCAATACTCCATGCTTTTCTCTCATTTGCCCTCGTGAATGAACAAATGAATGGCAATCTTTTGTAGTAATACAATTTTGTGAGGCTATTCAAATGTAGCATCTGGTTTGCAGTGGCTCTGTCCACTACTTTAAAGCTAGGTCAACAGAGGCCTGGGCAGGCCAAACAAGTTGTCTTCCAGTGTATAGAGAGTGAGTTGATTTGCCTCCAGGTCTTATCTCCCAATCTCTGAGGCTTTCTCCCAAGGCATACTTAGGTGAGGTTGGTCAGCTCAATGCATCATTGTATGTTCCAGCTAAAGGACTTGGATGATTACAACTTTATTTGGCTGATCTGAATCTTAAGAAACAGAACTCTGGATAGTTATTTTTTTGGGAAGAACAAGGAGATTTTCAATGATGTGATAATAATTTATTAGCACTTCAGTCATGGAGTGATGCCAGTAAGTCTAACAGTTGAGCATGCATGTATGATGAAATATTAGCCTTGCAAGAAAGAGCAATGGAAACACCCCCTCTGGGTGTAGGCAGGCTTGTTAGCAACAGTGACTTGCATGGGACAAGTATCATAAAAGACATCGTCAAGGATATGTATGACTATAAAAAAGAGGTGAGCTAGTCAATTAAGTAATAGAGTGTAGACAACTTGAGTGTTGCACTGGTATCCACAATTTAAATAACAGAAGGTGGGTTGGCTAAAAAGCTCTCTGGGTGGTTACAAAAAATATCAAAAAAGTCAAAGGAAGGCCTCAGATATTGGGTAGGTCCTCTACACAGAATTCAAGGAAAGACATAGGCAGAAATTGCACAGATGAGAGTTTTGCTGGGTTTCAATATGTACAAATGGAAGAAATACAAACTCTGGTTAGTGCACTCAGAGAGATAAGCCTTAGCAAAGAGACAGACCACATCTTTATCAGAGCCCAGAATAAAGGAGGAGACTATGAAAAATGATGTCAAGGATTGGTGAGATGAAGGGAAGGAAAGGAGAAGGAGCTCATAGTGGACAGCCTTGATTTTCTTGACAAAGTAGGAATGGAAGTCCTCCCTGAAATGGGGAAAGGGCAGGGGGGACTAGCTGCTTTGAGAAAATCAAGCAGAAAAGAGAATCTGTGGTGTGTGGGTCAGAGATCAGTAAAATGATCATCTTACTCCAGTGAGGGCCCAGGTGAGATTAGATAACACAATTTTGTAGTGGAACTCATTGGCGTGGTTGGGTGACTTCCTTTAGTTATATTCAGCAGCATATGAGTAGGAGCAGGGGAGCAGATGGTAGGAATAATTCAGGGTTGTAGTTTGGCAAGGCATGAGAGGCAAAAGAATAGAGGAGCAAGAAATACAAGTATAGAGGATGGTGGAGTTGAATAGATTCACTGAAGTATTAAAGTAAGGAATATTAGCCTAACTTTTCTGGGGTAATGTTGAGGTTAGCTAGGATTTGGCTGTTAGGTTGCATTTATGTACGTATATAAAGTTCATATGGTACATCAGTCACAAAGAAGCCAAGAATCCAGGTTTGCTAATATCTAGTTGAGAGGTTTTTCTAAAATACTACATTGCCTTACCATTTCTTTTGTCAGGGAAACTTGATTCACAAAATGTAGCCTCAGCAATGAAAACTCCCAGAATTTTGGCAAACTGGAGATGAGAATTTTGGATTATAATATGTCACTCTAGATTGCTCTAAATCTAATTCTAAACCAATCTGACAAAATGTAGCTCTAGACAGTACAAGGTAATTTGATGTAGTGTGACATTACATGATATAGCATGTCAAACCTTTCTTCCTACCCACCCCCCCTACTCCTTTCTAACGTTGAATGCCCACTATCAATTCCAGCAGGGAGCATACAACCAGGATTTTTGGCAGGTAATTAGTGGGCTGCATATCAGCAAGAGTGGGTCATTTTTATTAAGTGCTTTCACATCTCGTTAGCTGCTCTTCATCAAATCCCATCAGCATGCTAGCACGTTAAATTTTGTTAATCTCATATTGAAAGTCACTGGGATGATGGAGGAGACAAAGGAAAACACAATGGTGAAATCTTCCATGACCCCATTTCTGTCTGCATGTTGGCACGTGGTGTCAATTGAATTAGCCTATTGATAGAGAACAATGGTGTCTTATTTCCCTTTCTCTTAGCCACTCTATCCACCTCTCTCCCCACCCCCACGAGTGTATTCATACCTTATGCACATATATGATCCATATGTTTTATATGTATATATGAATATTTTATACATTATCATAGGAAGACAACTTTTGTCATAGCAGGGTGGAAGTGTACCCAAAGACTCTGTGATGGTCCAATTCCACCATCTTTAACACAGACGTTTCTCATTTAGGAAGATGTGAAGGTAAGCTGGGCACATTCCCCTTCCTTGGTCCCAGAAACCAACAGCATTTTTTAGAAACATCAGTAGGATGGGGCTAGTAAATGTTCTTAAACACGCACAGATGCTTTAAGTTCACTGAACATGACAATCAGCAGAACACTTTACAGACAAGCTATAGTCTTGGACTTTTGATGACCTATTTTGCCTACTATGTTGACCCTTGCTTTGCGCATAGACTGGATTTCTTTCTGTCTCCATCCTCAATTCCCAATGTTTAGAGGATCATTTAGAAATGAAAAAAAAAACTCACAAAGTATCTAGAAAACTTCTTCATTTTACAGATAAAGAAACAGGCCTAGGTATCAATACATGAAAAATGAATGACCAAAAATTATTTACTAAGTGGCAGTTAGGAAACATAATAGAGTACTGGACTTGGAATGAAGAAAATCTGACTTTGAATCTTGCTTGAGACACTTAGTAGCTGTTTTCCCCAGGGAAGTCACTTAACCTCTCTTAGCTGTAGTTTCTTCTTTTGTAAAATGTATCTATAGTAGTACCTATCCCACAGAATTGTAGGCACAAAATGAATTAGCATATGTAGCATATGCAGATCTTAAGGTGGTAAATGTTAGCTACTATTCAATCAATGAGCACTCACTAAGTACTTACTGTGTAACAAGCACTGTGCTATTATTGTTGTTAACTGTTTACTATTTTCCAACCACTGAACTAAGCTTGGAGGATACAAATATAAAATTTAGAGAGTTTCTTCCATTAAGTAGCCGACACTCAAATGGGGGAAACCATGTATATAGGGAAGTCATAATAACTAGGAAGTTTTAGTGAATGAAGCCCTAGATGAATTGATAGACTTGTCCCTTCCAATAGCAATTAGAGGTTAGATATAACATTTATTAAGTACTTGCTGTGTGCCAGGTACTGTGCTAAGCTTTGAAATTACAAATACAAGCCAACACCCCCCCCCCCCCATATACATGTCAGTAACTGAAAAGAGTTAGAAGTAACCAGGGCTACTATTGGGTAGATTCTTCAGAAGATGGAAGTTCTAGAGAGGAACTCACCATACAAAGTAGGAGCCACGTAAGTCGAGCTACATGCAGTGTGTTAAAGTCACTGTGGTAGAAGTGGAAAAGTTGTCTGGAGAGTGAGGGGCTGAGCTGGGCTGAAAGTAAACAGTGCTGTCATGGTACACAACAATAAAAGTATTGAGCTAATTATGATTCCCAGAAGGAAAGAAAATGGCTAGGGTAGACTGTGAAGTGTGGCTGGGGCTAGCTAGATATAATGGGCCTTTCACCAATGCTAGTTTGTAGTCAAGGAATTGTCAGGAAATTGTGGGCCCCAACATGGGACTTCTAGATATGAGGGATAACTATTGCAGGCCATGATATCTAGAAGTTCTGAAGTCCACAGGGTTCAACAGCAAGGCATATGAAAAGAAGATGGCAGGGCTGGAATATGAAGCATGCCTGGGACAAGATAGATAGACAAGATAGATAGAAAGACAGACAATATACATACATACATACATACATATACACACACACACATGACCAATGTGACATTTTTGGTTATCAATTGGGACAATAGCGGAATTTTCAGAACTGATTGTATTAAATCTCTCAGGGGATGGTCTCTGGAGGTCTGGTGGTCTGGAGGAAGAAGTTATAGGGTGGATATAAAAAAGATGACTGGGATGGAATAGTAAGAAGCAATTTGACCAAAGTTACCCATGGATAATAAGTAACAGAGCTTGGATTCCAACCTATAGCTGCTCTTACAACTGGTGCTCCTTTTCCAACTGACTGCTCTATTTATGGACATGCTCATTTGCTTTTAGCCCTTTTCATACTCTGTTTTTAAATCTGGCCACAGTCTCTGAGTATTACATGAATCTAATTTTTGTCCACTTTTTCTAGAGGGATTCTGTTTTATGATACATCTTGCCTGACCCCTTTGCCTGATCCTGAATGCAAAGTAGCAGAACTTGTGAACCCCAACCAGTGCCATGGAAAGCATGGAGCTTTCCCTCATCTGGGTGGGATCAAATTGAGCAGGCTGTCCACTGGCTCATGGACACTTTGTCATCTTTGATATTCCACACGTGGATCTCCCATTTTGTATTGCTCACCACAAGCATTATTGGAGGGTAAAGATAGTTTTCCTGCAAAACAGACTCTTGTTGAGTAATGGTCTTTTTCTTCAGCAAACATAAATAAATAAATAAATTTAAATTGGCCTAACTACTCTCATCATTATTAACATCTTCAAACCTTCCGTATGAGCTGCGTTCTCTCTATGATGATACCCTCCTCTGCCCCGGGAAATAAGTTCAATGTCTTTAGAAGCTCCCTAACCATTTTTCGGGACACTAGAGTATCATTTAGCATGATACATAGTAATCACATGCTGCCACTCATATCTGAAGATTTTTATTTTATCATTTTTAATGATATTTGTAAAAGTGTTTTGCACAGTGCCTGGCATGTAGTAGGTGCTACATAAATGTTTATTCCCTCCCTCCCCCATCAGAGGAATATAGAATTTGCAGTTGGAAAGGAGGCTTAGAGTTCATCTATTCCAACCCCTTCAATCATACAGATGGAAAAACAACAACAACTACAAATTAGGGTCCAAGTGGGAAAGTAATTTGCCCAAGTTCATCTAGCTAATCTGTGATAGAACTGGCATTAAAGTTTAGACATTCTTGGTCTCCCATCATCAGGGTATATGGTATGGGTGGGGTTTTTTTTGTTGTTGTTTAATTGTTTGTTTGTTTTGCTTGTGTTTGTTTCTGTTTTTGTTTTTAATTTTTCTTTTTTTTACCAGTAATGTGGAGTGATTTGCAGAGGTAGCATGATAGAATGGATAGAGGGCTGGGCGTGGAGTCAGAAAGACTTAGGTTCAAATCCCAACTTTGGCACTTACCAGCTGCATGACTCTAGATAAGTCACTTTGTATTTCAGGCAGCTCATTAGGATTTAACTATTAAGTCCTAGATGGGTTGCACTTCACATTGGTTAAAGGATTTCCTTCACCAAATGTTCCCTATATTGATGAAATTTCAGATTCTTTGTATGTATTCCTGAGGGGAGATTTATTTATGATAAAAGAATTTGGTAGGACTCTTTTTTTCCCCCCAAACAGTTTATGTAGTTTCCGAATTAATTGTTCCTTAAATGTTTTGTAGAATTTGCTTGTAAATCTGTTTAGTTCTGAGTTTGTTTTCCCCCTCTAGGGATCTCATTTATGGCTTTTCAATTTCTTTTCTGAGTGGTTTATGAATTATATTTCCTGTTCTGTTAATCTGGACAGTTTATCTTTTTGTAAATATTCATCCATTTCATTTAGATTATCACTTTTATTGGCATGTAGTTGGGCAAAATTGTTCTTAATAATTACTTTTATGTCATCTTCAGTGGTTGTGAATTCACCTTTTTAATTTTTGATATTTGTAATTTGGTTTTCTTTCATTTTTAAAAATCAAATTAGCCATTGGTTTATCTATTTTATTATTTTTTTCTTTAGAAAAATTAGCTCCATTTTTATTCATTAGTTCCATGTTTTATTTTTTTTTACTTTGAATGTTATTAATTTTTGTTTTTAATTATAGTGACTTTTTATTGGTGTTTAATTGGGGCTTTTGTTTGTTGTTATTTTTAGCAGCCTGCCCAATTCATTGATCTACTCTTTTTCTCTTCTATTAATGTAAGTGTTTAGAGGTATACATTTTTCTTTAAGTACTGCTTTGACCACATCCCACAAATTTTGTTGTCTCATTTTTGTTTAATATTTAATGAAATTATTGTTTCTATGATTTTTTCTTTGATCCACTCATTCTTTAGGAATAGATTATATGGTTTCCAATTAATTTTAAATCTATGCTTCTATAGCCCTTTATTAAATGAAATTTTATTGCATTATTGTCTGAAAAGGGTACATTTAACATTTCTGTTTTTCTGAATTTATTTGTGAGGTTTTTATGCCCTAATACATGGTTAATTTGCATGTTCTATACACAACAGAGAAAAAGGTATATTCCTGTTTATTCCCATTCAGTCTTCTCCAGAGGTCTATTATATCTAATTTTTGTAAAATTCTATTTATCTCCTTAACTCCTTTCTTATTTCATGGTTAGATTAATCTAGGTCTGAGAGGGGGTAATTTGAAATTCTCTGCTAGTATAGTTTTATAGTTATACGTATAAAGCTTTAACTCATTTAACTTTTCCTTCAAGAATTTGGAAACTATGCCACTTGGTGCATATATGTTCAGTATTGATATTAGTTCATTGCCCATGGCAATTTTAGCAAAAGGTTGTTCCCTCGATTTTCTCTTTTAATTAGACCTCTTTCTGCTTTTAGATTTTCTGAGATCATGATTGCTACCTCTGCCTTTTTCACTTTGGCAGAAGTATAATAGATTCTGCTTCAGTCCTTTATTTAAACTCTATGTTTTTCTTTCTGTTTTAAGTGTGTTTCTTGCAAACAACACATTTTTGTTTTCTGATTTTTAATCCATTCTGCTCTCTTCCATACTATGGGTGAGTTCATCCCATTCAAATTCACAGTTATAATTCCTAACTGTGTATTTCCCTCCATCCTATTCTATTACATTTAGTCCTCTTATTTTTACCCTATCCCTTCCTTAAGAGTCTTTTGCTTTTTGATCACTGCCTTCATTAATCTACCTTCCCTCTTATCACCACCTACCTTTTTCTTAACGCCCTTTCCTCCTACTTTTCTGTTGGGAAAGATGAATTTTTGTATCCAACTGTGTGTGAATGCATATTCTTTCATCCTTGAAGCAGTTCAGATGATAGTGAGATTCAAGTGGTGCCTGTTCCCCCTGTCCTCTCCTCTACTTTGTATAAACTTCCTTGTGAGCCCCATTTGTGAGATAGTTTTCCCACTCTTCCTCTCTTCCCCCCATCTCCAATGTATCCTTCTTTCTCACCGTTCCATTCTTCTTTTGAGGTTATCCCAACATAGAATCACACTCATGCCCTCTATATAAGTAGACTTGCTATAACGTTTCTGGTGATGATAAAATTTTTCAGGGGGGCCAGTCACATGTCATCTTCCCATATAAAGATATAAACAGTTTAACTTTAGTTCCCTATGATTTCTCACTTGTGTTTATCATTTTATGCTTCTCTTGCATCTTGTGTTTGGATGTCAAAATTTCTACTTATCTCTGGTCTTCTCATCAGAAATGCTTAATATTCCTCTATTACATTAAATATCCTCTGTAGAATTATATTCAGTTTTACATTGCAGGTTATTCTTGGTTTAATCCTAGCTCCTTTGCCTTCTAGAATATCCTATTCTAAGCCCTTGGCTTCTTTATAGTGGAAGTCTTGTGAGATTCTGAATGTGTCTCCACAGTATTTTAATTCTTTCTGGCTGCTTGCAGTATTTTCTCCTTTACTGTGCATTTCTGGATTTTGGCTATAATATTATTGGGAGTTTTCTTTTGGTGTTTATTTCAGGAGGTGATCAATAGTTTCTTTCAATGCTTACTGTGTCCTTTGGTTCCAAGATATCTGAGTAGTTTTCCTAGGAAAATGATGTCTAGGTTCTTTTTGTTTGTTTGTTTTGTTTTGTTCATGGCTTTCAGGTAATGTAATGATTCTTAAATTATCTTTCTGCTATCTATTTTCCAGGTCAGTTGTTTTTCCTATGAGATGTTTCACATTTCCTGTCATTTTTCCAGTCTT